TATAATTACAAACCCCAATGTTTTCAATCTGCAGCCTTCAGTCTGTAGAAAACCACAGAGCTCCTTCACTCCAGAATCTCCCAGGTTGGTGCTGCTCAGGAGCAGTCCTGTCAGATGGGTCGGGTTGGACTTCAGAGCTGAGAACAGAGACGTCCAGCTGGTCTCTGACAACCAGCACATCTCCAATCTGAATAAAGAATAAAAGATGAGCTGAAGCCAACAGGATGCAGTTAAAATATGAACAAATAAATAATAAAATGTAGAAAATTAATTTCCCTGAATGTAAAAGAAACATGAACTGATTCTAACATCTGATCCAGTCAAACTGGTTTAAAGAGTCCAAACCAGCAGAACCAGAACATTTTATCAACAAAGAAACTCAAAGTTTTCTATGAGCAGCAGCCTGGATGAGCTGAGCCATTTCTGCTGGTTCCTGATCATCAGCTGGAGACCCGACTTGGTAACCGGATAAGAACCACTCAGTTTATTCATGAATGGCCTTAGGTTCTTCTTAACGCTGCTGAAAGCCAATGGAGGCCATTATTTCCTAAGGAGACGTGACCTGATGAAGCTTCATCACAGAGACGAGGCTCCAACCGACTGACAGCTGTCAGACTGAAGAGGACGGTTCCTCTCTGACCCGGCCCAACAGAACCACAGCTTCAGGACAAAGTGAGGAACCTGCTGCTGCTGCTGCAAACCTCACTGTCATTCAGTTCATCTAGATTTGCTTTTCTACAATCAGTCATTTTTTAGATGTTTCATTAATGATGATTTGAACTGGTCAGTGTTTGTGGCTCGACTGGAGGAAAACATTTCATTCTGGATGTAAAGATGAGAATCAGAAATAAAACAATCTGAATCTTTACCAACCAAACTGAAACATCTCCATTGTTAATTAACTTCATTTGAATTATTTTACTCATTTTGCTCATCAGTCAGAAACATTTTAAAAACTGAAAAACAAAGTTCAATGATCTCAAAGTCTGAAATAAGAAAAATTATTTATTAATAAGGTAAAATTGTTTGAAATTTGAATCTGACATTTAAAAATATTGTTTTTAAATATTACAACTAAATTATTAATTAAACTAAGGACTAAAGTATCAATGAATGACTTTATTGTATAAATAGAGAAAACAAACCTCAG